ATTGAACAAGTCATTGATGAACTCCCTAGGGAAAAAAATCTCCAGGGCCAGATGGATTTGCATGTGAATTCTATCAAACATTTAAAGAGCAACTAATTCCAATACTATATAGACTATTTGGAAAAATAGGTAAAGAAGGAGTCTTACCAAATTCTTTTTATGATACAAATATGGTGCTGATACCTAAACCAGGAAGAGTCAAAACAGAAAAAGAAAATTATAGACCAATTTCACTAATGAATTTTAAATAAAATATTAGCAAATAGATTGCAGCAACTTATCACAACAATAATACACTATGACCAGGTAGGATTTATACCGGGGATGCAGGACTGGTTCAATATTAGGAAAACTATCAGCATAATTGATCATGTCAAGAACAAAACTAACAGAAACCATATGATCATCTCAATAGATGCAGAAAAAGCTTTTGACAAAATACAACACCCATTCCTATTAAAAACACTAGAGAGCATAGGAATAAATGGAGTCTTCCTTAAAATAATAAATAGCTTCTACCTAAAACCTTCAGCAAGCATCATATGTAATTGGGATAAGCCAGAAGCATTTCCAGTAAGATCAGGGGTGAAACAAGGATGTCCATCATCACCACTGTTGTTCAATATCGTACTGGAAATGTTACCTTTAACAATAAGAGAAGAAAAAGAAATTGAAGGGATTAGAATAGGCAAAGAAGAAACAAAGCTATCATTCTTTGCAGATGTCATGATGTTATACTTAGAGAATCCCAGAGAATAAAGTAAAAAGCTACTTGATATAATAAACAACTTTAGCAAAGTTGCAGGTTATAAAATAAACCCACATAAATCATCAGCATTTCTATATGTTACCAACAAAACCCAACAGCAAGAGATAGAAAAAGAAATTCCATTTAAACTTACTGTAGATATTATAAAATATTTAGGAGTCTACCTCCTGAAACAAACCCAGGAACTCTATGAACACAATTATAAAACACTTTTCACAGAAATAAAGTCAGATCTAAATAACTGGAAAAATATCAGTTGTTTATGGGTATGCTGAGGTAATGTAATAAAGATGACAATTCTGTCTAAGCTAATTTACTTATTCAATACGATACCAATCAAACTACCAAAAGTTATTTTATAGAATTAGAAAAAATAATAACAAGATTCATTTGGAAGAACAAAAGGTCCATAATATCAAAGGAAGTAATGAAAAGAAATGCAGGGGAAGGTGGCCTAGCCATTCCAGATCTTAAATGGTATTATAAAGCAGCAATCATCAAAACTGCTTGGTACTTGCTAAGAAATAGAGTGGTGGATCAGTGGAATAGGTTTAATATGCAAGACACAGTAGTCAATGACTATAGTAATCTATTATTTGATAAACCCAAAGACCCCAGCTTCTGGGGTAAGAGCTCACTCTTTGACAAAAACTGCTGGGAAAACTGGAAAAGAGTATGGCAGAAACTAGGCATAGATCAAAATCTCACACTATATACCAAAATAAAGTCAAAATGAGTTCATGATTTAAATATAAAGGCTGATGCTGTAAGCAAACTGGGAGAGTAAGGAATAATTTACCTATCGGATTTATGGAGAATGGAAGAATTCATGACCAAACAGGAGGTAGAGAACATTATGAAATGTAAAATGGATAACTTTGATTACATGAAATTGAAAAGTTTTTGCACAAACAAAGCCAATGCAACCAAGACTAGAAGGAGAGTAGAAAATTGGGAAAGAATTTTTGCAGCCAGTCTCTCTGATAAGGACCTCATTTCTAAAATTTATAGAGAATTAAGTCAAATTTATAAGAATACAAGTCATTCCCCAATTGATAATTGGTCAAAGGATATTAACAGGCAGTTCTCAGATGAAGAAATTAAAGCCATCTATAGTTATATGAAAAAAAATTGCTCTAAATCACTATTAATTGGAGAAATGCAAATCAAAACATCTCTGAGGTACCACATCACACCTATCAGATTGGTCAATGTGACAAAACAGGAAAATGAGATGTTGGAGAAGATGTAGGGAAATTGGAACACTAATGCATTGTTGGTGGCGTTGTGAAATGATCCAATCTGGAATTATGCCCAAAGGGCTATAAAAATGTGCATACCCTTTGACTCAGCAATAGCACTTCTAAGGCTGTATCCCAAAGAGATCATACAAATCAGAAAAGGACTCACATGTACAAAAATATTTATAGCAGCTCTTTTTGTGGTGGCAAAGAATTGGAAATTGAGAGGATAACCATCAGTTGCGGAATGGCTGAACAAGTTGTGGTATATGAATGTAATGGAATACTATTGAGCTATAAGAAATGATGAGCTGGCAGACATCAGAAAAACCTGAAAAGATTTGTATGGTCTGATGCTGAGTGAAGTGCGCAAGACCAGGAGAATGTTGTACACATTAACAGCCAAGTTGTGCGATAACTAATGTTGATAGACTTAGCCCTTCTCAGCAATGCAAACATCCAAGACATCTCCAAAGGCCTCATGATGGAAAATGCTATCCATATCCAAAGAAGGAACTATGGAGTTTGAATGCAGATTGAAGCATGCAATTTGCTATTTTTTTCTTCTGTTGAGTTTTGTTTCCTCTTTCTGGTGTTTCCTCCTATTGGTTCTAATTCTTACTTACAACATCACTAATGTGAAAATATATTTACTAGGAATGTATATGTATAGCCTGTATCAGATTGCATGCCATCTTGGCGAGGGTGGGGGACAAAAATTTAAAACTCAAAAGCTTATGGAAGTGATTGTTGATAAATCAAAATGAATTAATTTTAAAAAATAATATTAATGTTAAGAAATTATTAACTACCTTGCATTAGATAGAGTAAATTCTAGCAAATGTCCAAATAGGGGAAGTGCCCCTCCCACCTCCACTCTATTCTGTGTTAGGCTCTTGATCTATTTTCTGCTTCCATGTGCTCTTTCTATCCATGTTGTCCAAAATATACTCTACCTCAAATATACTCTGCTCAGATACTTTCCACCATGCTTCCCAATCTGATTCTTAGATTTTCCTCATTAGTACATTTTTAAAATAGATAATGCTACCGTGTCCCTCACCTATACCAATCTTACTCCATCAGTTTTCAAACTTACCATCTTGCATTATTACGTCCTTGCCCCTTCTTTGCTCTGTACATTTTGTGCATGTATGTGTAACATCTGAGGACATGAGGTCTATTGTAGATTCCTTTCTTCCTTCTTCTACCCTGAAACTTCCTGAAACAAGTCATGATTACTTTCTGCCTTGTCATTTCTTTCTTCTTTTTCTTTTTAATCGTGAAATACTTTCTTCAATTAAAAAAAAAGAATACTTCACTTTCTTTGATAAATTGGAGAGGTATTTCTTGATCCTCTTTCTATTTTTCTTCTAGGAGAGAGACAACCTACACTTTGAGCCTAAGTAACCATCTCTTGTTTTTGTCTTGACAGGAATATAAACATCACATAAAGGTTAGTAGGCTCACTGCAAATTTATCTCTGCTCTTCATGTTTACTTGGATAAGAGTGAGATTCTCAGCCATTTATCATTTTTGATAGTAGGTCCCTTGGAGAATTGCTTTGGCAAACTACTTGTCTGGGTCTTCGACTCTCAAGTTTTTACCTTCTTTCTTATTCAGATACCACTTCTCACTTTTGTAATACATGGAAAGTAGCACCCAACTTCTTTTCCTTCTTAAAAAAGTTTCCTAATTTCTTTTGCTTATCTTGTTTTACTAACATCTTTTTTTTCTTATTCTTTTCTTTTAGTTTCTCCTCTTTCTTTAGTTTTCCTTTTTCCCATCAGCATAAGTCCTTGTTTTTCTTCTTCTTCAACTTCTCTTCAAGTCTCTCCAAATTTCCTTTCCCCAAAATAAATGCTTGGACTTCCCAAAGCCCTTTAAAACACCTTTGCAGTTACCACAGGAAATAAAAATGCTGACTGATGCCACCTGCATAGAATTATGGGAGAAATTTTTAGATGTAGAAGGGACATTGTTATGGATAAAGAAATTGAGACCCAGAGAAGTTAGTGATTTGCCAAAGGTAGTTAGGAATAGAGCTGGGATTAGAGCCTGAATCTCCTGATTGACAACCTAATGCTTTTCCCAAAACACCACTTCATCTTTGATTAAGATTTACTTTAGTGGATGCTAATTGAAAATGCATTTTCAGTTACCATGTACTAATATGAATATACCATACAGAGGAAAGAGCCCTGGCTTAGGAATCAGAAGATGGGAGTTCTAACATCTCTGATGTTTTCTATACTTGTCAATTTAGGCAGTTTATTTAACCTTATAGGGATTCAGTTTACTCATTTGTAAAATAAGGGATTTGGACTAGAGAGCCTCTAAAAACCCTTCCAATTTTTGATCTATAATTTAATTATATATATATATGTATAGAATCATATTATAGTATGGTATTTATAGTATCTATATTAAACCATATATAGTATTATATCATATATATATATAATACATATATGTGTTACATATATTGAACTAATTCCAAATTAATTTTAAAAGTGAAGTAAACTGATCACCTGAAATTATTTTATGTATTTATTTTAATGTAATCAGTGTTAAAGACTACACTCACACTCACACACACATAAAACACACACATATGTATATGTATATATATATATATATATATACACACATACACACACACACACACTCATATAGTTGGAAAGCAAAAAACAAAAAAACAACAACAGATAGATATGTAACTAAATAGGGGACATGGTGCTGGGCCTGGAGTCAGAAAAAACTGAGTTTGAATCCTGCTTCAGTAACTTACTTAACTTCCTTCAGCCTCAGTTTCTTCATCTGTAAAATGCCACCTACAGGGTTGGTGTGAGAATTGAATATGTTAACATAGGAGAATTGCTTTGTAAGCATTAAAGCCCTTATATACGTAATAGTTGTTATTAGTCTGAATGGATGAATACAACTGAATTACTTTGCAAAATATATACATGTCCTTTTCCCTTAAACAGAAAAAAAAGCGCAGGCGTGTTTTTATGGGGAAACTTCAGGAGAAGGAATCCTTTGGTGAGATCAGCGTGCTTCTTCAAATACCTTTCACATGCACAATCATTACTGGATCCGAAGTTGAACTGGGAATCATCAATGCTGAGGATATGCTAGGTAAATACGAAGAAGCATTTTGTTTAATATCTACTTTGTTTACTTCAGGTTTATGGTGAACATACTACCAAGGTTGAGATAAGCATCTTTTAATTTGGAAGATGATATTTAATCTATTACTATAGAACTTTAGTAATTTCTTTATTAAATAAAATAGTCAGTACTTCAAAGCATAACCAATGCATATCCTCTTCCCACCCACATCTACTAGCTAAAATAATTCATAAATACAATGTTTAAAATTACAATAGGAAAAATGATTAGCAATTACTTTTGTCACTCCCTCTTCTCTTTCATGTGTCAGACTTCATAAGCCTCTTACTGCTTCTCAGGGGCCCATATCTTATTTACATGAAAGTATGTAAATTAGTATCCCTAAGGTCAATATAATAGCATCCAGAACTAGGTTACCTATTGGAGGGGGCATCAGGAACACATCAAAGAAGCCCAAACTTTGTGTTCTACTCCCATAATAGCAATGGGATCATGACCTGGGGTTCAAAGAGAGAGAGGTAAAGTGGAGATACAGTGACAGAGATAAAATGATGGTGTAATAAGAAATCCCACATATGCTTGACCTTGGAGCATGTCTTTTTCTTTTTAAATTGTACAAATAGTCAAAGAAGGAAATAAAGTAGCAGGAGTCAGGAAAAAAAAAAAAGACTGGAGGCTCACAAGTCAGAGCCCAAATGTATAGCAGTGTTAATGGCAACTTCACTTGAGATAAAAATAGGAAGATCGAAAGTTGGATAAGGTGAAAAAGAAGAGCAATTGGTAGAGGTTAACCTGCTTAAGGGGTTTGCTCATGGAATAATCTAATAATAATTCAGTTAGAGATATCTAATAATAATTCAATTTTGAAATAACATAATAACACAATAAAAATATTTCAGGTTCACTCTAGCTGTTTAATGCCTTTCTGATACTTAATGTGTGTGTGACCCTAGGCAAGACATTTAGCATCTATGCGATTCACCTAACTACACAGAATTTCTTTACTAATTCTTAGGAGGGTTTCAGTGGTAGGAGTTACCTATACTGATGCAATCAGAGATTGATTACATGAAAAGTTTGAGTTGACTAAATTCGTTCATATTGAATTTCAAGTACGTTATTGCTCTTTTTAAAGAATATATTCAACATTCCTGCCTAGCTCTGCTTAGCCATGCAAAAACCAGCTGAACAATCAAATAATCTCTGCAATTAAAACAAAAAACTATGGGTTCAATTGTTATATTTATTACCCTCTGTGACATTAAAACATTTAGAAAAATAAACACCCTCAAGGTAAGTAATCTTTAAAGAGGGACTGGTGATATTTTACTAGTGCAATGTTCTCTCTTGACATGATGCATTAATTTTCCCCCTGTACTAATTATGTTAACTGATGCAAGACACATTGGACTGTTTTCTATAAATCAATATTTCACACATGAAAGTACTTCTTCCAAGTATGTATTAAAATCTTCTCTGCCATCTGGCTGACTGAAATCCAAATAGAAGATACACTGTTTAGAGGGTAGGGGAGTGGGGTGGGGTAGAGAAGAATGAGATATGTGCATGTTGACCATAGCACCTGATGCAGATTTTAAATTTCATTCCATGTAAAATTCACTTGAGGTCTCTGCTATAAAGAAACTGAATCTGTGTGCACCTAATTAGTTAAACATTCCCTGAACAGGGATGAGGTTTAGGCTAAGTTTCTCCATCATTTTCTCACAATATGGGAGTGAAAAATAGGATGTTGAATTATTGATCCTCTTTTGTTTTTGCAGTTTCACCATTTTGTGATGATATTCCAAAGATAGAAAAAAATATTTTTAAAACTAAACAAGGAAAATTAAATAGTAATTGGGCCTTAATGGAAAATTAGACAATGAGGTGCATCTCAAACATGAAGGGCAACCCTCCCTCATGGGCATTGCTGTGGTAATCTATTTTCATCCCCATCTATTCATTTTTCTCTTAATGTCATCAGTAAATATGAACCCTTGAAAATTAACATAGACCAAGGCTGCAAATAAATAAGATGAGGAAATTAGGCTGCAGGTAAGTAAAAATTAAAATGAAAACACTGCCACCCAAACCACTGTGCCTCTAAGCCACATTATGTTCACATTATGGATCATCGCTAAGATCAGATTTATTGTCTCAATGACATTGAGAAGATATGGTGAAAATGACATAGAATATAGAAATGTATAAACACACACATATATTCACACATATATTTGCATATATACACATATGGTTATCTAAGATGGAATATATGTGCATGCAATATATGTATATATAAAATGTGCATGCACACACATGTGCATATATATAGAGACACATATTCCATTTGTTATATGTTATATCTGTATATATGGCTGTTGTAAAGAGGTTCTCAGTAAACCATAAGTCACTATGGGATATATAATCATTAACACTAAGCCTCTAGACTTTCATAATTGTTCATCAAATTGAAGATACTGAGAACTGAATAAAAACAAGTATAATTTAAATTGCTGTTTCTTACTTAGACCTGAAACATGTTTGTGTATGTCCGCATGCATACCTAAGTAAGGAAACATCAAGAATTGTGGGTTTTTTTTTAAGTTTAATTAAGGTTGTTAATTTTTTTCATATGTGTTTATGTGTGTGCACAAACACACACACACTTTTTATTTATTTTTTGTTTTCAACATTTACTTCCACAAGACTTTGAGTTTCAAATTTTCAGCCCATCTTGCCCCTCCCCCCACCCCAAGATGACATGCATTCTGAATACCCCTTCCCCTAGACTGCCTTCTCTTCTATCTCTCCCCCTGCTTCTCTTATGCCCTTCCCCTTCAATTTTCCTGTAGGGCAGGATGGATTTCTGTACCCCATTTCCTGTATTTCTTATTTCCCAGTTGCATGTGAAAACATTTTTTTTTAAACATGTGTTTTTAAAACTTTGGGTTCCAAATTTTCTCCCTTCCTCCCTTCCCACCCACCCTCATTGAAAAGGCAAGCTATACATGTGCAATTATGCAAAACACTTCCATGGTAGACATGTGGAGAAAAACTAACTCTATTTCCCTTAATCCTATCCCACCCCCCCATTTATTCTATTCTTTCTTTTGACCCTGTCCCTCCTCAGAAGTATTTGCTTCTGATTACCCCCTCTCCCAATCTGCCCTCTTCTCTATCATCCCCCTACTCTCTTGTCCCCTCCCCCCCCCATTTTCCTGTAGGGTAAGACAGATTTCCATACCCAACTGAGTGTGTATGTTATTCCCTCCTTAAGTCAAATTCTATGAGAATAAGATTCACTCATTCCCTCTCACCTTCCCCTGTTTCCCCTCCACTGTTAAGAGCCTTTTCTTTTCTGTTTTTTTTTGTGAGATAATTTACCCCGTTCTACCTCTCCCTTTCTCCTTCTCTTAGTAAAATCCTCTCTCACCCTTAATTTTATTCTCCAGATATGACCCCTTCATTTTCAACTTACCCTGTGCCCTCTATCTATTTATCTATCTATCTATCTATCTATCTATCTATCTATCTATCTATCTATCTATCAATCAATATCTATATATATGTACATATAATTTTTTCCCCTCCAACTACCCTAATACTGACAAAGGTCTCATGAGTTACAAATATCATCTTTCCATGCAGGAATGTAAACAGTTCAACCTTAATAAGTCTCTTATGATGTCCTCTTTCCTGTTTACCTGTTCATGTTCCACTTGAGTCTTGTATTTGAAAATCAAATTTTCTATTCAGCTCTGGTCTTTTCATCAAGAATGCTTGCAAGTCCTCTATTTCACTAAATGACCATTTTTCCCCCTGCAGGATTATACTCAGTTTTTCTGGGTAGGTGATTCTTGGTTGTAATCCTATCTCCTTTGCCCTCCGGAATATTATATTCCATGCCCTGCAGTCCCTTAATGTAGAAGCAGCTAAATCTTGTGTTATCCTGATTGTGTTTCCACAATACTTGAATTGTTTCTTTCTGGCTGCTTGTAATATTTTCTCCTTGACCTGGGAACTCTGGAATTTGGCTACAATATTCCTAGGAGTTTTCCTTTGGGGATCTCTTTGAGGTGGTGATTGGTGGATTCTTTCAATTTCTATTTTGTCCTCTGTTCTAAAATACCAGGGCAGTTTTCCTTGATAATTTCTTGAAAGATGATGTCTAGGCTCTTTTTTTGATCATGGCTTTCAGATAGTCCAATAATTTTTAAATTCTCTCTCCTGGATCTATTTTCCAGGTCAGTTGTTTTTCCAATGAGATATTTCACATTGTTTTCTAATTTTTCATTCTTTTGGATTTGTTTTATAGTTTCTTGATTTCTCATCAAGTCACTAGCTTCCAATTGCTCTATTCCAATTGTTAAGGAAGCATTTTCTTCAGTAAGCTTTTGGACTTCCTTTTCCATTTGGCCAATTTTGCTTTTTAGGGCATTCTTCTCCTCATTGGCTTTTTGTACCTCTTTTGCCATTTGGGTTAGGCTATTTTTTAAGGTGTTATTTTCTTCAGTATTTTTTGGGTCTCCTTTAGCAAGCTGTCGACTTGTTTTTCATGATTTTTTTGCAAAACTCTCAATTTTGCCTCTACTTCTCTTACTTGCTTCTCAACATCCCTTTTGAGCTCTTCCAAGGCCTGGGACTGATTCATATTTTTCTTGGAGGGTTTAGATGTAGGAGCTTTGGCTTTGTTGTCTTCTTCTGGTTGTATGTTTTGATCTTCTTTGTCACCAAAGTAAGATAATATAGTCTGACTCTTTTTGCTCTGCTTACTCATGATCCCGGCCAGTTACTTTAGTTTTAAACTCTTTGTTAAGGTAAAAGTCTGTTTCCAATGTGGAGAATGTACTGTCCCAAGCTTTGGGGGTGTGTCTAGCTATTTTCAGAGATAGTTCTAGGGACCTGAAAATTTTCACTTCTTCCAAGGTGCTATGATAAGGGGAGAGGTATTTTCTCTGCACCACTGCAACAAGCTTCACCACACCAGCATTCCTCCTCACCCC